AGGGGGCTCACACCCACCCCCCACACCCCCCCCCACCACCCACAGTAACTAGAGAACGCTCCCACACAGACAGACGAGACCCATGCCATCACAGATGTAGGGCCGAGTCTATACCGCAGCGCGGCGGAACGTAACAATAGCCAGAGCTGTATACTGGCTCCTCTGACGTGTGTATCATGAATTGACCTTGACCTAGAGGGCCAGGTACGGGCCCTCAAGGACCACCTCCAGTGGGCCAGGTACGGCCACCAAGGACCACCTCCAGTGGGCCAGGTACGACCACCAAGGATCACCACCAGTGGGCCAGGTACGGGCCCTCAATGACCACCTCTAGTGGGCCAGGTACGGCCACCAAGGACCACCTCCAGTGGGCCAGGTACGACCCCTCAAGGACCACCTCCAGTGGGCCAGGTACGGCCACCAAGGACCACCTCCAGTGGGCCAGGTACGACCACCAAGGATCACCACCAGTGGGCCAGGTACGGGCCCTCAATGACCACCTCTAGTGGGCCAGGTACGGCCACCAAGGACCACCTCCAGTGGGCCAGGTACGACCCCTCAAGGACCACCTCCAGTGGACCAGGTACGACCCCTCAAGGACCACCTCCAGTGGACCAGGTACGACTCCTCAAGGACCACCTCCAGTGGACCAGGTACGACCCCCCACGACCACCACAATGATCTGGAAACAAAATAATCAGAATAATTATACAGACACACCACATAAGGACAATAATAATAATAATAATAATAATAATAATAATAATAATAATAATAATAATAAAACAAATGACAGAAAATAGAACAAAAGAATAAATGAAGCTAACACCAATAAGTCAATTACAACACAAAATACAAGACACAAGACAGACAGACAGAAATACAGTCATTCGAAGAGACAGAGAAAGGGTGTGTAGGATGGAACCGGGGGTAAATGGGTGGGGGGGGGGTTAGGACCCCCCCTATGAGAAAATACAACTGGCCATACACCTGTAATCACTACAGTAGCACCACTACAATAACCCCACTGTCACAATATTTTACAACACCGCTACAATAATACAGTAACATCATTTGCTCTATCGAATTACACCTGGTCGATAAAGCAACGACCTTGCTTCATGCAGGGGTCGCGTTCGATCCCCCGAGAGGGTTAACGCGATTGGGCTTCCTGGTGTTATATAGTCATACTGGCTTAGCTGTGCTTGTCTTTGCTCGTTAACTATATTGTTTTGTACCGTATTTCTTCTATCAAACCTCTCGAGCTTGCTACTGCAATTATCAATCACATCTCCTGCAATTGCTCTCAGATCTAATCGTGATTATATGCAACAATGTTGTTGTGTTTCAAGCTACACTTTAACTCTTGTCTGGTATCGTGGCTTTTTCCCTGCACCCATCAGACCTGCCAAGAGGCATAGTTCCGTGAACCTCACTCAAGTCCTCTTCCTACAACACTTCACTCTGGTTAAGTCTAAACTTACGAGAGAGAGAGAGAGAGAGAGAGAGAGAGAGAGAGAGAGAGAGAGAGAGAGAGAGAGAGAGAGAGAGAGAGAGAGAGAGAGAGAGAGAGAGAGAGAGAGAGAGAGAGAGAGAGAGAGATTCAAGTTCAGGTTACATCCGTTCACCTGTATTGTTCAGAACAAGTTACAGAAACAGAATAAGCAATGTTTGTAATTAACTGAGTTAGGAACGGGCAATTACACACACACACACACACACACACACTCATTTGTAATCAGCGCTCTGATTTTTAACTTGGCTTTACACACACACACACACACACACACACACACACACACACACACACACACACACACACACACACACACACACACACACACACATACACACACACACAAACACTCATTTGTAATCAGCGCTCTGATTTTTAACTTGGCTTTACACACACACACACACACACACACACACACACACACACACACACACACACACACACACAACTGAGAGGAGGGCCGAAAGAGCAGAGCTCAACCCCCGTAAGCACAACTAGGTGAATACAACTAGGTGAGTACAACTAGGTGAGTATACACACACACACACACACACACACACACACACATACACACACATACATTTTGGAGGCTGACTCCATGCACAGTTTCAAGTGTAGATATGATAGAGCCCAAAAGGCTTTGAAACCTGTACACCTGTTGATTGACGGTTGAGAGGCGGGACCAAAGAGCCAGAGCTCAACCCCCGCAAGCACAAGTAGGTGAGTACAAATAGGTGAGTACACACACAGTATGGGTGTGTAAGGGGCCGGTGGCTGAGTAGACAGCACGCTTGATACGTAGTCATGTGGACCGGGGGTTCGATTCCTGGGGCCGGCAGAAACAAAATGGGCAGAATTTCTTTCAACCCTGAAGCCCCTGTTACCTAGCAGTAAATAGGTACCTGGGAGTTAGACAGCTGTTACGGAGCTACTTCCTGGGTATGTGTGTGTGTGTGTGTGTGTGTGTGTGTGTGTGTGTGTGTGTGTGTGTGTTCTGGATAAGGCCACAGTATGAAACAGAAAAAAATATGAAGGTACAGCCACTTACTGCTCACCTAGAGAAACCATTCAAATTCCTTCCTATTCTGGCCCCCATCTAACCAAGTAGGCAGAGTCCACCTCTCTCACTACCAAGGCTGAGACCTCACATCCAACTCTCAGAAGACACTAGGAAGCTGAACACAAATGCCTGAGTGTTACTTGAGACCTAATCCTCTCCTCCTTCTGTAATAGTGTCATGTATTCTAACGTTTCAACCTATAGATTCTGTCTCAGACCAATCAAACCAACGATATATGTAGGTTTTTAATTTTTTTTTAAATTTTGCCCCGAGTGGCGAGTTTATTGGGCAGCGCCACTCATCTTGTGAGTGAACATACCGCCATAGCAGAATGTACAACACTCCCCAATAGGAAGAAAACCCGCTGGGTTGTTCATCCTGTCACTTGTACCCAGACACATCTGGGACTTGCTTAACTGTCTCAAGTGAACAGGTTTTATATTTTGGTCCACTGCCACAAAGGTGAATTGACTCTTCCGATCCCAAACACCAGCCTGTGTGTGTGTGTTCCGGCCTCCGTACCATGGCAAGGGACGTGTTTAGGTGGGATATCTCGTCCATCTCCACCCTCAATCAACAGCTTCTATCCCCCCACCCCGACCTCTCCCCCCTTCCCTTCAATTCACTCTCCGACCTATTCACCTAGCCACATGAGATACTGGTTTTTACACGACCTGTAAAAACCTCCCCCCCCCCACCTACCCCCACCTATTCCCTTCATCCAACACCCTATCTTCTACCTATCCCCCCTCCCCACAATCCATCTATCATCCAGCTCTCGTCAGAGCAGTGACGATGGTTGTGGTGTTGAGGTGATGGTGATGATTGTGGGAGTGGGAGGGAGGGGGGATTGTGGTGGTAGTTGTTAGTGTTGATGGTGATTGTGGTGGTTAAAGAGGGGAGCTGGTTATGGTGATAGGATGGGGCAAGAATTATGGTAAAAAGGTTGATAGTGATAATGATAGTGGTAGTGTTGTGTTGGAGATGTTTTTCCAGTTTTGGGATGACTGTGGTGATGGTAGATGGTGATGGTAGATGGTAGGGAGTGAGGGTGATGATAAGGGGTGATAGTGATAGTGGAGGTGATAGTGATGGTGATAGTGACGACGGAAACCCCACACTAGACATCCCCGCGGCCTCTAAACGTTTTTAAAACAACAAATTATCAACTTATCCATCAAAACTCCCCCAAAAATATATTTATATGTGAGTAGATCGTCAGTACAAGAACTTCCGCCTCTTGAGGTTATCGAGATGATTTCGGGGCTTTAGTGTCCCCGCGGCCCGGTCCTCGACCAGGCCTCCACCCACAGGAAGCAGCCCGTGACAGCTGACTAACACCCAGGTACCTATTTTTACTGCTAGGTACCAGGGGCATAGGGTGAAAGAAACTCTGCCCATTGTTTCTCGCCGGCGTCCGGGATCGAGCCCGGGACCACAGGATCACAAGTCCAGCTTGCTGTCCGCTCGGCCGACCGGGATTGAAGTATACACAAGGTGTCCGGAAGCTGTAATTAGCGATCGTCTCTTTCATTTTTCTTGTTTTTTTTGTTGTTGCTTGTTAAAGGCGAGGCGTTCCGCTTCTCTTACTGGTCAGCAACACTGTGCCACACTGGCCAATGGGCGAAGAGACTCGCTGCGGCCTTAGATTTGATTGGCTCCCCGTTGAATGAGAAGAGTTTGTAACCGAATGAAAGAAACTGCCAACTTGCCACATTTTCCAGCCTATGTAATATTCTCTCACACATAACTGTGTTTAGTAATGTTTTCTGATGGACGGACGAAGCCACTCAGACCGCATGGAGCTTGAACAAGCTAGTTAACGCCTCTATAAACATTACTGTGTATGTCAGTCTCTAGGGGAGTGTATGGGACGTGTCTATGTCCTTGTCAATGTGCCTTACCAGCATCTTCTCGTGGACGCACCTTTCCGTTAGGGCGATATAGCAATTAAGATTCCGCATAAGGAGGGAGCCATTGTGTGAGGTGACAGTTGACCTGATCTGTCCGTCGATCACTCAGGAAGCCAGTTCAGGTGTCTCTCCCTGAAACGGAAATCAGAGGAACCGTCGACTGAGTTAGATGATGCATTCTGAAATCTGTGCTCGTGAGCAATGCTAGACAACGTGCAGACAGACCCCTGAACGTCTCCCAAGGAAATTGCCTTGAGATTCTGTGATGTCTTTTTCTACAAATTGAGCTTGAAAATGCTCGTTAATCTCCGGATTTCGGGGTGTTACAAGCAGCAGCGTCAATGACTTTAGATGTTAGTGTAAAAAAGAGCTGTTATGAAACGAGTCTGGAGCTCTGTATGGCCCCGAGTGTGGTGATCCTCTTGAGACGAAAGCTATTGGGAACGACCAAAAGACAGAGACAAGTGTGGTAAAGTGTGGCGACGCCGTTATACTACATGAGGCTATCACCCGCCAAATCCTCAGTTAGTCGCCCTGGAACCGCCAAGTTTTAAACGTTGCAAGGAGTGTGTTTACATCCGGTGAGTGCTTCTGGGGAGTGTTTGTGGGGAGAGGGACCAGTTCTGGCCGAGACGCTATAAGAGACACACTCAGGTAGGTGAGTGCTTCTGTGTGTGCTGGCGGGAGTGACACGACTTGTGTCGAGACACTCACGCTCGTGGGTGTAACTCAGAGCCCCTGAAGGAGTGACACAACACTGGAACACACTTCAACAGGTTAGAATTGACGAAAGTGTATATGGCACTCATAAGACACGAAATACGCCATACCATGTGATGAGTGTGTTTGTGAGAGAGCGTGTGAGTGTCATGTCATCGCCTCGAACCCTCACAACTCACAATATTGGGCTCTTGCGACTGCTTGACATAGAGGGATTCGAACCCCCCCCCACGTTCTGATAATGTCAGCCAGGTGAGTGTTGGTGACAGTCGTCCTTACACAAAAGCTCTCTGTAGTGTTATGATCGACAAAGTACCGACTTAGTCGACAACTTAGTAAGCTAAATATTATATATATTCTATGGTTCAACATTTGTGAAAGTTTTTCTGATTTAATTACACGGCTTTCCTTACTGGAACCTTTACAGGGTTTGTGTAAATTCCGTATTTTTTAACGAATTCATTCGAGCCAATCTTAGGAAATGATTTAACAAAAATATATACTTTAAGTACACTTCGAACATGATATTATATATATATATATATATTATATATATATATATATATATATATATATATATATATATATATATATATATATATATATATATATATATATATATATGTCGTACCTAGTAACCAGAACGCACTTCTCAGCCTACTATGCAAGGCCCGATTTGTCTAATAAGCCAATTTTTCCTGAATTAATATATTTTCTATAATTTTTTCTCATGAAATGATAAAGCTACCCATTTCATTATGTATGAGGTCAATTTTTTTATTGGAGTTAAAATTAACGTAGATATGCGACCGAACCTAACCAACCCTACCTAACCTAACCTAACCTATCTTTATAGGTTAGGTTAGATTAGGTAGCCGAAAAAGTTAGGTTAGGTTAGGTAGGTTAGGTAGTCTAAAAAACATTAATTCATAAAAACTTGGCTTATTAGGCAAATCGGGCCTTGCATAGTAGGCTGAGAAGTGCGTTCTGGCTACTAGGTACGACATATATATATATATATATATATATATATATATATATATATATATATATATATATATATATATATATATATATATATATATATACCAGTGTTGCGAAAAAAAGGAAATACATTTGTGCACCCCATTACTTTACATTCCGTTTTCTTTAACACAATCAACCCAACTCTAGTCACATCAATAGTGAGAAATATATAATATAAACAATTTGATTTATTTGGCGTTTTTGCGTTCCTTATTTACTTTATAGATAAAGTACATAAGGTGAATTTATCAATTTACTTTATAAATGGTGAACGATTTGTGAGCTAGGACCAGAAACTGCTCACAAGACGGTATAAGGGAACAACAGAACAAGCACCTCTCTCTCCCTCTCTCTCACACACACTCTTCAAGTAGTGACACGTGTAGACACTCTCCTCACTCCCCCCCCCCCAGGTGGTGAGAGAGAGAGAGAGAGAGAGAATATATTGTTTTTATTATAATTTTCTACCACAGACGTGGCCGGGCATTTGCAATGCTAATCAACCAACATTTTCTTCTGTCCTCCATGGACAGGGATGTGTTGAACATATAGTTCAGGGATTTATTTAACAATCAACCACAGATATTAAGCACTTAACCACTGAAGGTGATTGAGATGGTTTTACAAGCTCAGGTTATATAGTTATAATGGGAGGATACGAACCAGAGGCCATACGAAGAATCAGTTTGGCTGCTGTTACGTACATGTTGTACGAGACAAGTTGTACTGTGTTTCTCAGGTTAATCTGTCTCTCTCTCTCTCTCTCTCTCTCTGTCTCTTAGGATAATCTGTCTCTCTCTCTCTCAGTCTCTCAGGTTAATCTCTTTCTCTCTCTCTGTGTCTCAGGTTAATCTCTCTCTCTCTCTGTCTCTCAGGTTAATCTGTCTCTGTCTCTCTCTGTCTCTCAGGTTAATCTCTCTCTCTCTCTCTCTCTCTCTCTCTCTCTCTCTCTCTCTCTCTCTCTCTCTCTCTCTCTCTCTCTCTCTCTCTCTCTTTCTCTCTCTCTCTCTCTCAGGTTAATTTGTCTCTCTCTCTGTGTCTCTCAGGTTAATCTGTCTCTCTGTCTCTCTCTGTCTCAGTTTAATCTGTCTCTCTCTCTCTGTGTCTTTCAGGTTAATCTCTCTCTCTGTCTCTCTCCGTCTCAGGTTAATCTGTCTCTCTCTCTGGTGAATACTCAGGATAGACCAGTGGATCATGGGCTGGGTGTGGAGTGCTGGGGTTGGGGAGTCTGTGCATGCCGTTAAGGGGGAGTCGGCTGATAGATTGATATAAAGATTAAGCTGCCCAAAAGGCGGCACGGGCATGAATAACCCGTAAAAGTTAAGGAGTCTGAAATAAAATCATGATAAAGCGAAGTATATGTGCAGGTTAGATAAGAGAAGGGACATTTGAATCTTTTAAAAGGGACATTAAGGGAAGGGACATTTGAATCTTTTAAAAGGGACATTAAGGGAAGGGACATTTGAATCTTTTAAAAGAGACATTAAGGGAAGGGACATTTGAATCTTTAATATGTTATTAAAAATGAAAAATGAGCATAAATAGCTATTATACTCTCTTGTATATAAAGCAAATAATAGTTAAAAAGATTTTTTACCTGGGAATGAAGTTAATTTTACTCTCATACGGGATCTGGAATGTTTCGCTAAGTTTAACTTAGCACCCTGAGAGGCATAGGAAATAAATGCTAAATATTAATTGCAATATTTATAGTCTATTCAGGTGTGCTGTGAGAAGAGGTGATTACCTTGTCGAGGTGACAGGTTCATTAAATCCTATATTCTCATTGGTCGGCTGGGGAGGTGGTGGAAGACGGGTCAATTAAGCAGCATTTTCCCATTGTTCGATCCCATGGAAGGATGAACCTATGTATGATCCGGCATTTCGTAATTAGATGAGAAAGGAAGGGAACTATCAGGAGAGAGCGCCAAGGCATTTTGACTATATAGCACTGGGAAGGGGTCAGGATAAGGATTTGGGATGGGACGGAGGGAAAGGAATGGTGCCCAACCACTTGTGGACGGTCGAGGGGATTAAACGCCGACCTGCATGAAGCGAGACCGTCGCTCTACCGTCCAGCCCAAGTGGATGAGAGTGACTGATGTATCCACCTAATTTTAATTGTGGTGGTTGAGCTTCGGCTCTTTGGTCCCGCCTCTCAACTGTCAATCAACTGGTTGTACAGGTTCCTGAGCCTATTGGGCTCTAATCATATCTACATTTGAAACTGTGTATGGAGTCAGCCTCCATCACATCTAAAGTGCTTTGGCTACATCTTAATTTCAAGTGATCGTTATATCCGTCGAATTACTTCAATACCGATGATCAGGAACTTCCTGGAGGAAAAGTTAAGGTGTAGGAGGAAGTGATGTTCACTGACGCCTTCTTGTAAGAGCCCAATCAGGAATCCTAACGACCGGTGATTATTATGCCTGAATGTGCTTGTGGGGGGCGTGGGGGGGGGGGGGGTGGGGTGGGTGGGGGGCGTGGGAGGGCGTGGGAGTCACAATCTACTCAAATACTATCTACGATATACCACAAATATCGTCAGTAGCGATATACTATCTCCATTATATATCTATATACATCATCAAATAATATATGATGAATTAGGGAGAAATATATATATTTTTCCCCGAGTGGGTCGTTTATATATCGTCAAATTCATCATATTTTGTTGGGGGGTTATGATCTTTGACAAGCCGCCGGCTTTCTGTCCTCGTCGAGGCTACTAGAATTAGTGGCCCCTCAGGTAAATTCGGGTAAATGATACACACACATAGGAGTGATTCCTTGTAGCGAGAGGCACATGTATGGACGGATTCATAATATTGGGGAATACATTGTGTGAGGGATGAGAAGAGAAAGTATACATAGTGTCTGGGTAGAGGAAGTATACATAATGACTGGGAAGAGAAAGTATACATAGTGTCTGGGAGGAGGAAGTATACATAGTGTCTGGGTAGAGGAAGTATACATAGTGTCTGGGAAGAGAAAGTATACATAGTGTCTGGGAGGAGGAAGTATACATAGTGTCTGGGAAGAGGAAGTATACATAGTGTCTGGGAAGAGAAAGTATACATAGTGTCTGAGAAGAGAAAGTATACATAGTGTCTGAGAAGAGGAAGTATACATAGTGTCGGGGAAGAGGATGTATACATAGTGTCTGGGAAGAGGAAGTATACATAGAGTGGAGGGGAGGAGGGAGGGAGAGAGGGAGGGGTCTCGTAGCACAGTGGCTACGTTCTCCGTTCTCAATCAGGGAGGGGGGGGGGGTTGAACACATTTTCTTTCGCCTAATACCTCTGTTCACCTAACGATAAATAGGTACCCGGGAGTTATGTAACTGTTGTGGGGGATTGAACTCTGGGAAGAATGAGTAGTTTGACCTTTGAGGAGGGGGGGGGAGGCCCTCGATATAAGCCTAAATTTATATATATATATATATATATATATATATATATAATATATATATATATATATATATATATATATATATATATATGTGTGTGTTCCTGTCTCCAACAACGGGAATTATGTATCTTATTGTAGTATACATACAATAAGATACATAATGGGAAGGATACATAATGTCATACATTCCATTCCTTGTATGGATACAATTTCCTACTATCCACCAGGAGCCAGATTCACGAAGCAGTTACTCAAGCACTTACGAACCTGTCCATCTTTTCTCAATCTTTGGCGGCTTTGTTTACAATTATTAAACAGTTAATGAGCTCCGAAGCACAAGGAGGCTGTTTATAACAATAACAACAGTTGATTGGCAAGTTTTCATGCTTGTAAACTGTTTAATAAATGTAACCAAAGCCGTCAAAGACTGAGGAAAGATGTACACGTTCGTAAGTACTTGCGTAACTCCTTCGTAAATCTGGCCCCCAGGTTCG